CTCAGAAACCCAAAGGGGGTCGTTATGAGTTAGAATCAACTCGATGGCAGTGAGTTTGGTTTTTTGTTTTTTTGAGACACTAAGAACAGAGTTTTACTCTACACTAGTGTGGTAGTTATGTTTGTGTGTCAGCTTGGCTGGGCCTGGTTGAGTGGCTGGGCAGCTGGTGGTAGTTATTCCCCATGATGAGATTGGCGATCAGTTCCATGGTAGGATCTACCACAAGCAACTGAGAAGCTGCCTTTGGGATGTGGTCTGCTTCCTGTATATAAGGAGAGCCTTGGGGATGGTCTCTAGCCTATGGCACGCTTGGACCCTGCATGTAGCCACGTCATTGTTCAGCAGCCTGCTATGCTCTGCTGACCTTGGGACTTGCAGTGGACTTAAATTAATGGCCTGCCATGTGGTTTGGTAACATCGGGACTATGCCACTTTATTTGTCAACCTTGGGCTTCTCGGCCTCAGCAGCCAGCAGCTGTCTGAGTGAAGAAATGCCTCTAGCTTCAGTGGGCTGAGAGCTGGAGGCAAAGCTGAAGCCCAAGGCTGAGGGGCTGTCACCCAGCCCCTAGAGCTTGGCACTTTGAACTTGGACTTAAAGCCTTCAAATTGTAAGAATAAACTCCTGTTTGTTAAGGCCATCCCTTTTGTGGTGTATTCCTGTCAGAGTGGCACTAGGTAACCAGAACAACTAGTAACAGAGTTTTACTACAGGGCAAGATCATCCATGTGACAACTCTTTTGAAGTCTGCTTCTGTTTCCCTCTGAGTGGTCATGTGGCAGGAGGACCAGGAAGCAGAGTCACATTCAAGGGGCCTGTGGTTTCTCACACACGTATCAGTCAAGCTTGGATGCTCTTGAACATTCTCCTCTCTGCAGTCCTGTTCCTAGAGGGTTCTAAGTGCTCAGGATTGGAGTTAGGGTTTGAGGGAAGCATATGAAGTCAAAAGGTCCCATTGATTTTACCAGAAAACTTGCATTTAGGGGTTTGAACCCAATCAAGCCTGATTAACAAGAAAACCCTGGTGTGTGGAAGGGGAAGAAGCAGCAGGCAGCTCTCCTATCACCATATCCCTAGGAAGGAAATGAGAGAGAGGATCCTGTAATTTGGAGGGATAAGTGTAGGGCTGGGACAGATAAAGTATGTACTACTACCTTTGCCTGGCTTAGATGCACCAGTTGTCCTGCCCTGTACCATTTCATCAAGAGCCCTGGTGGTGCAATGATTAAGCACTCCACTGGTAACTGAAAAGCTGGTGGTTCAAACCCAACCAGTGGCTCCATGGGAGAAAAACCTGGTGATCTGCTCCTGTAAAGATTACAGCCTAGGAAACTAATTGAGGCAGTTCTGCTATGTCAGTGGAGTCACTGTGAGTCATAATCAACTCAGTGGGACCCAGTGGGAACAGGTTGACAAATCGTTTTATTCACGTCGTTGACCAGTGCCATCCCCCTCCATCTCATCGTTATCAGCCACTATGGGGTCGCTATGAGTCGGGGCCGACTCGACGGCACATAACAACAACAACAACAACAATGTACAGCATAGCCACAGCAAAGAAGTTGGGTTGGCCAAAGATCATTTAGACATGTTTCCCCACCCTCTTTCTAAATTAATGCATTCTCATCAAAGGTATATAATTCGTATAACTCAGTAAAGCACTTTGATGATCTGATACCAGTCACTAAAAACTATCTTAGCAGAGAGGGCTGTGGAAGGCAATGGAGTCCAGCTGGGATTCTACTGCAGGCTGTGTGAGTGGTGTGAGAACACATGTGTCAGTAATAGTTTGGAGAGTTCCATTTATGTGGGAACAGATTGATAGCAGCAGCTTGAGAGGTTGGATAGGAAGCTGTGAGGGGGCAGTGAGTTTCCATTAATGGGGGAGGAACAATCCAGAAAAGGAAGGTGAGAATGTTTGCACAACTTGAAGGGTGGAATCAGTGTCACCGAATTATGCATGTGGCAATTGTTGAATTGGTCCATGTTCTGCTGTGTATATTTTCAACAACAAAAACTAAGTTATTAAGAAAACAATGGTTGAAGAGTTCTAATTCTCAGAAAACATACCCATAATGCCTCAAAATCATAATCTCCCTTTGTTCTGAGAAGAGAATCTAGTACATGTCTCCCTTTTACAGATGAGAAAACTCAGGTCCACGGGAGAAGTAGCTTACCCACAGTCATCTACAGTCATCTCACTGCCGTGGAGTCGGGTTCAACTCATAGTGACCCCTCCTTGGATTTCCAAGGCAGTATCACTATGGAAGTAGATTGCCCAATCTTCCTTCCAAGGAGTGGCTGGTGGGTTTGAACTGTCAGCCTTCTGGTTAGCAGTCAGATGCCTTACACACTACGCCACCAGAGCTCACTGTTGTCATACCTCGGTGATATTGCAGGTTCAGTTCCAGACCACTGCAACATAGCAACTGTTGCAATAAAACTAGTTATGTGAAGTTTTTGATTTCCCAGTGGATATAAAAGTTATGTTGACACTATACTGTACACTGTTAAATGTGCAATAGCGTTATGAAAAGGTTTGAAATTTTGTGAGAATTACCGAAATGTGACACAGAGACACAAAACAAGTGCATGCTGTTGGAAAGATGGTGCTGATAGACTTGCATGATGCAGGGTTGCCACAACTTATAAAAAACAGTATCTGTGAAGGGCAATAAAGTGAAGCGCAGTAAAACAAGGTATGGCTATAGTCAGTCAGTGGCAGAGTCAGAATTAGAATTCGTATCTCTAGGGGTTTGCCATTGGCAAGGGAAAGCATGTAGTGGAGGATGAGGAGGCACCACTATGATCATCTTGGTGGATGTCTACTGAGCACCTATTATGTGCCAAGCTCTTGTTAGGCCCTGGGGACACAAGAATGAAGAACTCAACTGCAACCCAGACCCTTGTGGTATTTATATTCTGTCTGAGAAGACAAACGGAGCACCTCATTACATGCTCATTTCATTGTGAATTTCATTCAGTTGTGATGAGGGCCAAGCTTTTCACAGGGCAAACTAACATGCACTGGGGCTAGGGAAACTAAGGACTAAGACTTGAGAGGAGAAATATTTGAAAGATAAGTAATCCAGGCAAAGGGAGAGGAGGGAGAATAGAGGTAGACGGGCCAACATAATGATTCCAGACCATCCAAGGGGAAGTGGAATAAAAATGCTGCTGGTGTTCCTGGAAATTAGTCCATTGCAGGAGATTTGGGGTTTTAATGCTATCTCCTTCCCTCTGTGACAACCAAAAAAATGGTCTCTACTCTTTAGGTGGAATCTATCCTGTTCCCAGAGCTGAAAGAATATAGCCTAACACTTGCAACTGTGAAAATTGAAGAAAAATTGGTTTCTGATCTTGTGGATCAAACTTACGAGGTATTTCAGAAAAACCAAGTTGGGCCTCACAAGTAAGTTGGTTCAGTTATAACTTTATTAACTGTTTTGGCATTGGTTTAGAATTCTTGTAGTTGTTGTTGTTGTTTGCCCTCGAGTCAGACACGACTCATAGCGACCCCTCCTTGGGTTTCCGAGGCAGTATCACTACAGAAGTAGATTGCCCAACCTTCCTTCCAAGGAGTTGCTGGTGGGTTTGAACCACCGGCCCTCTGGTTAGTGGTCCAGTGCCTTAGGCCCTATGCTACCAAAGGTTAGAATTCTTAACCATCATCAAATAAATAGTCCCTGAAGAACATACATAATAATAAAAATAGCCAACACGTATAAGATGAGTAATCCAGGCTATAACTATTTATTCCCATCTTAACAGATAAACTAAAAACAAAACAAAGCAAAAAAAAAAAAAAACCCACTGTCATCAAGTCAATTCCAACTCATAGCGACCCCCATTGGGTTTCTGAGACAGTAAATCTTTATGGAAGTAGAATGCCCAGTCTTCCTTCTGCGGAGTGGCTGGTGGGTTTGAACTGCCAGCTTTCTGGTTAGCAGTCAAATGCCTTAGGTACTGCACCACCAGGGCTTCTTATCTTAACGGATACCAAAAAAACCAAACCAAACTCATTGCCATCAGGTCGGATCCAACTCATAGCGACCCCTCCTTGGGTTTCCGAGTGGTATCACTATGGAAATAGATTGCCCAACCTTCCTTCTGAGGAGTGGGTAGTGGGTTTGAACCGCCAGACTTGTGGTTAGCAGTCAAAGCCTTAGGCACTATGCCACCAGAGCTCCCCAATCTTAACAGATAAAGATACCATAATTTTCCCAAGGTTACACAGCAAATAAATAGGAGATCCAGGGTTGAAATTCAGTTACGGGTCTACCTTCAAGATCTGAAATCTTCAGGCCAGCTGGGTTTTGCATTTAGACATTTTTGGATTTTAGGAAGGTAAAATACGCATGTACCGCCTATTATTTGGCAGCTTCATAGAAGTCTGGGATAATACCTGTTACTCAAATGTACTAGTATTTCTGCAGTTAAGCCTATAAATATTCACATAATTAGCCCCACACTAGTTTTAGGGCAGCTTTTGCTAATGAATTTTGAAGAAAAAAATATGTTTTCAGAGCTTTTCGGGTTTACGGATTGAGGCCTGCTCATAGGAGCCCGTGCTCTTTAATCATCTTGGTGCAGTACTCCTCACAGTTGCTCATGTACATATACTCATTGCTCCATGTACATAAGGAGCTCTGGTGGCATAGTGCCTAAGGCATTTGACTGCTAACCAGAAGGCTGGTGGTTCAAACCCATCAACCACTCCTTGGAAGGAAGGTTGGGCTATCCAGTTCTGAAGTGATACTGCCTCGGAAACCCAAGGAGGGGTCGCTATGAG